GGAAAGAGAGAATTTATAAAGTGATAAATTGTTTACTTTGCTCAGTAATTTTGACTTTCCTTCTTCAATACATGACAAAGTCACCTCATTCTGTCTAGTCAGCATTTCTCTCGCTACAAAAAAACACAAGCATTGTCATGGCAACACAACAACACCCACACTTACCATTACAAAATGGCGGATGTGAGATGATAGAGGAAAGGAGGCCATCAAGAAACAGCTGCAATGAGAGACCGAGTTCATTACAGACACTAACTATTATATTAATAATAACTGGATCAGATGAAGAATGGATATCTCCTATTAAACAAAATACATGTACAGTGTAGCCTCTATAATAAGGACAGCCTAAGATAAGGACACCTTTATAATGAGGACATTTAATGTCCCACTTGGTACAAGCCTATACAAAAGTACCTCTGAAATGAGGACACCTCTTTATTAAGGACAAGTAGTGTGGGCCCAATGGTGTCCTTAATAAAGAGGCTACACTGTACATGTATTAAGGACAGGTAGTGTGGGCCCACTGGTGTCCTTAATAAAGAGGATACACTGTACATGCATTAAGGACAGGTAGTGTGGACCCAATGGTGACCTTAATAAAGAGACTACACTGTACATGTATTAAGGACAGGCAGTGTGGGCCCAATGGTGTCATTAATAAAGAGGCTACACTGTACATGTATTAAGGACTGGTAGTGTGGGCCCAATGGTGTCCTTAATAAAGAGGCTACACTGTACATGTATTAAGGACAGGTAGTGTGGGCCCAATGGTGTCCTTAATAAAGAGGCTACACTGTACATGCATTAAGGACAGGTAGTGTGGGCCCAATGGTGTCCTTAATAAAGAGGCTACACTGTACATGTATTAAGGACAGGTAGTGTGGACCCAATGGTGACCTTAATAAAGAGGCTACACTGTACATGTATTAAGGACAGGTAGTGTGGACCCAATGGTGACCTTAATAAAGAGACTACACTGTACATGTATTAAGGACAGGCAGTGTGGGCCCAATGGTGTCATTAATAAAGAGGCTACACTGTACATGTATTAAGGACTGGTAGTGTGGGCCCAATGGTGTCCTTAATAAAGAGGCTACACTGTACATGTATTAAGGACAGGTAGTGTGGGCCCAATGGTGTCCTTAATAAAGAGGCTACACTGTACATGCATTAAGGACAGGTAGTGTGGGCCCAATGGTGTCCTTAATAAAGAGGCTACACTGTACATGTATTAAGGACAGGTAGTGTGGACCCAATG